GACATGGACTCCTAGCCACCCTGTAGGACAGTCTGTCAATATTTAAAGAAGCAAAGCCCAAACCACACCCACTGCCGTGGAGTCCATTCTGACCCACAGTGCCCCTAGAGGACAGAGTGGAACTGCCCCACAGGGTCTCCAAGGCTGTCAATCTTCACGGAAGTAACTGCCACATGTTTCTCCTTCAGAACGGATAGTGGGTTAGAACTTCTGACCTTTTGGTTAGGAGGCAAGTGCTTAACCAATATGCTATCAGGGTTCTTTTACTTCCCCTATGATAGGAGATGGGGAGCTCTGGTAGCATAGTGCCTAAGGCACTTGATTGCTAACCAGAAGGCCAGTGGTTCAAACCCACCAGGCACTCCTCGGAAGGAAGGTTGGGCAATCTACTTCCATAGTGCTACTGCCTCGGAAACCCAAGGAGGGGTCGCTATGAGTTGGGGCTGACTCAACGGCACATAACAACAACAACAACACGGTAGGAGATTAGGAAAACACAGATAATAATTAAGAGAAAGAGAGAGCTTGCTGTTGCCCCATCCAGGTCACCACAGCTAAGGCAAGGGGCAATTGCATTCTTGATTTGGATTTCTAAGTACAAACATTAAATTTAAGCAAATTTGAAGCCTCCATATTTACAGTTTGCAGCCTACTGTATTCGCTTAGCATGCGATTGTGAGCACCTCCTGGAGCACTAAATATCGTTCAGACACAGTTTGAAAGGGTCACCTGGTCCCACGTCACCCATCGCCACGGTTCCTTTGGGACAGTCATCTGTTTAACCAGCAAACATGAGCTCAGGGCCTCAGCGGGCTGCCCTGGGGCACGTCTGTTCCAATGGGAGACACGCTGAGAACCAGGCCGGGGAGCCCTGGTACACCATCACCTGTGACAGAGCTGCTGAAGGGATGAGGCTCTGGGAGAGGCCACGGAGGGTGACCTACTAAGACGGGGGCCTGGGGGTGCCGGTGGCCCCAGACTGAGGAAGGATGGACGGGAATCTCCCTCACTGGCCGGTCATTTCTGGGCTGGACCCTGCTGGTTCTGACCCAGAGCCCTGAGCCTCCCCTGCTTCTGAGCAGCCCCAGGGGCTGGAGGGACCCCAGGATGGGATTGACAGTCTATCTCAGTCACCGAGAGCCACTGTGAAACAGATGTCACCAAGCACACAGTGATATGGATGCTATCAGGGGCTGTGGTGACATGGATACCACTGAGCACTGCGGTGACATAAACACTGACAGGCACTGTGGTGACACAGATGCCACCAAGTGCCCAGGGACCCAGACACCGCTGAGCAGCACAGTGACACAGACATTGGCGAGCTTGCGGTGACATGCCCACCTCGTGCTGCAGTGACACAGACCCTGCCAAGGACAAGGTGACATGGATGCCACCGAGCTCCATGGTGACCTGGATGCCACCGAGCTCCATGGTGACCTGGATGCCACCGAGCTCCATGGTGACCTGGATGCCACCGAGCTCCATGGGGACCTGGATGCCACCGAGCTCCATGGTGACCTGGATGCCACCGAGCTCCATGGGGACCTGGATGCCACCGAGCTCCATGGGGACCTGGATGCCACCGAGCTCCATGG